CAGAGCCAGCAGCCTGGGGAGCGGCCCGCCCCAGCCGGACGCGGGGCGACCCCCGAGGGCCCCCCTGGCCCGAGCCCTGGGGAACCCCGGAGCCGCCGAAAAGGTGAGGGACGCACCTGCCGGGGTCCCCGGAAGCCGACGTGGGGGGAGAAATGCCATCCCTCCCTTTCGCGCTCTCCGAAGTGACCTGAGGGGCGGGGGGAAGAAACCCCCCAACTTTAGAGCCCCCTCTGTGGCGTGGCCCGGATGAACAAAGCCCAAGCGGCCGAGCTGGGGAACCTGGACCGGAACCAGAACTGGGGGTGGGGGAGACTGGGATCGGGTGGGTGGAGTCAGCCCGGGCCCCGCCCCCGGCCCCGCCCCCCGGGGCCTGGTCACAGGGCACCTGCAGATCCTCCGCCCCCAGTTCCAAAATCAGCGCTCTGCCACTTGCTAAGGCCAGGGCGCAGGTGTCCGGCCCGGGTCAGTCACGTGAGCCCCAGCAAGCCTGGCTTACCCCGCTCGGGGCGGGGCGCCATGTCAAACCAGCCCGAGGAGCCGGGCTGCTGGCGGGGCTCACCTGTCATCCGAACTACTCAGGAGGCTGAGGTCTGAGGATCAAGGTTCAAAGCCAGTCAGGGAGGGAAAGTACCTGAGACTCATCCCCAATTAACCACCCCGAAAACACACAAGCAAGTGGAGATGTGGCTCGAGTGATAGAGCCTTGAGCAACAAAGTCTAAGAGATGGCACCCAGGCCTTGAGTTAAAGTCCCAGGACCAGCCCAGCTGAGAGAAGCTACACATTTAACCAAAGAACTAACTACTCTAAATTCTCCTGCCTGGAGGACACAGATGGAATTCTCCCTCTATGTCAGTGAGATACAATTATCTTGTGGTGCTAGAGTTGGAACTCAAGGCCTTGCTTTATCACTTGAACCAGCCCTCCCCCCCACTTCTGTTTGCTTTAGATATTTTTTTCAAAATATGTATGTCTGGGTGGGCCTGGATCCCGTCCTATTTAATTGTTTTTCATTTGTTTATTTATTTATGTTGGTCGGTTGTGGGGTTTGAACTTTGGGCCTGGCACTGTCCCTAAGCTTTTCAGCTCAAGGCTAGAGCTCTACCACTGGAGCCACAGGGCCACTTCTAGTTTTCTGGTAGTTAATTGGGGATGAGTCTCATAGACTTTCTTGCCTGGGTTGGCTTTGAACCACGATCCTCAGATCTCAGCCTCCTGAGTAGCTCGGATTACAGGCATGAGCCACCACTGCCTGGACAATTTTTATTTATTAACATGGGAGTCTCAAAAAGGGTTTTTTGGGGGGAGGGGAAAGGGGTGGCCTCAAACTGTGGTTCTCCTGAGCTTCTTAAAGTGTTTCTACTTAGGCAGACTCTTTCAAAGCGTCTGATTTTTGGAGCACAGATGAAAAACTTTCTCACCTTTCCCTGGTAGAACTCAAGGAACTCCCATGAGCCCTTGTGAGGAGAAAACATGGAGTTGTTCTGGAAAACTCTGTGAACTAGGAACATGTAAGGATGGAAGGAAGACAAAGGATGACCTGGGTCCCTACCAGCTTCCAGGGAGCTAACATTCTATCCAGTTCTGCCAGTGTTACCAAATTATTTGTATAAGTGGCACTCAGGCTTGAATAGAGGGATACTACCTCTGCCCTCCCTAACAAGAAGACAGTCAGATCATGGGACATGACTCTTTTTTGGGGGTGGGGGGTGGGGGGGCTTGCCAAGCCTGAGGCTTGAACTCATTGCCCATGAGTTGTTCCTAAGGTTTTTTTGTTTTGTTTTGTTTCTCTTAAGGATAGTGCTTTACTACTTGAGCCCAGAGCTTTGCGATTTATTGGAGATAAGAGTCTCACAGACTCTCCTGTGCAGGCTGGTTTTGAACCATGATCTTCAGATCTTAGCCTCCTGAGTAGCTAGGATTATAGGCATAAGCCTGGCTCATGACTACTTTTTGCCTCTACTGTAGGATTTGGAGCCCAGCCTCTCTTAGCTATGTCTACACAGCGGGAAAGCTACTATCCAGTGTTCATATTACTTTATCTAAAACCAACTCATGACGAATGTTGGGCCCAGATACTGCTCCCCTGACTAAAGCCATTCTACACAGCAATCTCTCAGCTAGGAAAAGCAAAGGCTGCACTTATACATTTCCTTACAAAGCCCACCCCAAAAGGAAATAATCTTGCTTTTTATTTCTGTTGCTCAAACTTCTAACTAGAAGTTTGAAACCAAATTCCTTCCTGACTCCTATTAAATGGATGGGATGCAGAAGTGTGTCTGCAGAGATCTGCCCTTTCAGGACCACTGTCTGGGCAGGAGAATGACAGGAAACTGGCCAATTGCAGCTCAGCATGAAATGGGTCCAAGTAGGAGAAACTTGGATTTGGGAAGGATTGAGTTGGGCTCCCGTGTAAGCTTGGGCAGGTGCCCAGAGGAGATGTCCTAAACTGAGTTCTGGAGAAAGAAAGGGGTAAGACTGGAGAAGGAAGATCACAAGTGCTTGGTTTTGTTCTGTTTTTGTTTGAGCAGTACTAGGGGGTTGAACTCAGGTTCTCAAACTTGCTAGACAAGCCCTCTTCCACTTGATCCACACCTCCAATTCTTTTTGGCTTTCTTAGCTTAAATTTTCAGATAGATTCCATAGCTTTGTGCCTGGGAATGGCCTTAGAACCAGCCTTCTGCTTCTTGCATACCTGAACTCACCAGCATGTGCCACCAAGCCTAGTTTTTTGTTTTGTTTTGTTGGATGTCTTTCCCCCTAGTAATAGGGATTTAACTGAAGCACACTTGATTAGTTTTCCTTGCTTGCTCAATTGGAGTTCTACCACTGGAGCCACACCTCCAGCCCAGCTGGTTTCTTTGGACTTTTCCATCCAGGATGGATTCAAACTGTGATTCCCCCCTGCCCGATCTCAGCCCTCTGAGTATCTGTGATTACAGGCATGCTTCAAGTAGAACAGCTTCCAGAGCCATGAGAGAGCACATCATCTTTTGGGGGCAAGAGCAGCACTGTGGCTGGGGCTCTGTAGAGAGATGAACAAGGGCCTCCCGTGCAGTGCTGAAAGTCTGAAGAGTTCAAACCTAAGAGAAACATGATGACTTGTATGTTTCAGAGCACCACGTAGAAGGCAGCCTCCTATTGAACCTTGCACTGAGCCCAGAATGTGCTAGATAAAAAAGGGGGAAAGAAACAGAAAGTGCCAGGGCTGGCCAAGGAAAGGATGAGATGTTCTTAAAGGTTGTCTACTGGGGCTCCCTCATGCCTGGAAAATGCTTGCTGCCAGGCACATTGCAATGGAGAAAAGGACAGAATGATTACCAACCAGAGCTTGTGCTGAATGAAGAACTTACATTCCCAGAGAAGATAGCTTAAAGTTATCTGATTGGACAGGAGGCAGGCAGCGACTAGCCATGGAAGTGCACAGGTGTTCAGCATTAAGATGGTCACATGGTTCTGTAGCAGAGGTGAGCCATGGGTTTGATGGCCCTGTGGGGCTACTAAACCAGAGAAGTTTCTGGAGTCTAAAATCCTGTGGCAAAAAAAAAAAAATGTTTGTTTCTGTTTTACCAGTCCTTCAGTGTTTGGGCTCACCATGAAGAGTTGAGTCCTAAACCCTGAGGCACATTCCTAATGGCCCTGTGTGGTTTTTTTGGTCATAGTGAACCCATATCAGGAAGATATATGTCCTCATATCCCAGGCCTGGACCAGAAGAAGTGGAATATTACCAGTCAGAGGCTGAAGGGCTCCTGGAATGCCACAAATGCAGATACCTATGCACCGGGAGAGGTGAGCCTTTATGGAATGGGTTTGGCCATTTATTGTTACTGGTGGTTTTGGGAAGGGAAAGGTGAATGGGAACTGAGTTGGTGAAACAAAAATTCACTAGACTTCCTTATTGAGGTTCCTAGTATTTTCTCTTCCATACTTGTATGAGATTCTTGCTTTCAAAAACTAAGAAGTGCCAGGCACCGGTGGCTCACACCTGTAATCCTAGCTACTTAGGAGGAGGCTGAGATCTGAGGACAGAAGTTCAAAGCCAGCCCAGGCAGGAAAGTCTGTGAAACTCATCTCCAATAAACCACCAGAAAACCAGAAGTGGTGCTGTAACTCAAGTGGTAGAGTGCTAGCCTTGAACTGAAGAATTGAGGGACAGCTCTCAGGCCTGGAGTTCAAGCCCCATGACCGACCAAAAAAAAAAAAAAACCTAAGAAATTTCTAATTGGGTAGTTGTGGCTTATGCCTGCAATCCTAGCTACTCAGGAAGCTGAGATCTGAAAAGCATGGGTTCAAAGCCAGCCTACGGGAAGTTTGAGAGACTCTTATCTCTAATGAACCACCAAAAAAGTCAGAAGTGGAGCTGTGGCTCCAGGGGTAGAGCACAAGCCTTGAACAAAGAGGTTTAGGAATAGCTCTCAAGCCCTGAGTTCAAGCCCCAGTACCAGAAAAAAAAAAAAAAGCTGAATGTCCTGCCTGGTTTCCAGTGCTTCTCAAACAAGCCAGGAGCCAAGAACACTGCGCCATGCATGCAGCTAACTCCATGCAACTTAGTAGACTGTGAACTGCCAGTGACTGGCAGAGGCTCCACTGGGAAAGCAGGCTGAGTTGGAAGAGAGGGGAAACCACCCGAGTGGCAGCCAGTTGGCAGCTCAAACTACATGGACAGGAGCAAATGATCTTGGAAACCTGTTGCCCAAACATATGGTCAGTAGCTTTTAAACTTCATTGGTGGAGACGCACAGTGAGAAACAGATTTTACATTAAGACCAAGTTCACACATTCAAACCATCAAGAATCTGTACTTACCCTACTATCTACTAAGTGCTCTCTATGGAAGACAAGCAAACAAACACATCCAACCCAATGAATATCCGGAAACCCCTTGAATAATAACACATGTCAGCTGTACATGTGGTTTCCCAGGGTTCTCCTCTTTGCACTGAGCCTGGCCTTGCCAGCAATGAAGAAAATCTGGTTTATCAAGGTGAGCCCTAATGTCATCTGTGACTTGTGACAAATCTTCCTGGGTTGAGTTTGACAATGGAAAAACATGCTAGCCTAGAGGGGAGAAAATACAGCCACCCATAATGAAACTGTGATTTAGGATGATGAAAAAGCTGTTCAATTACAGGATTAAGAGGAACATGGATGTAAGGGCTCCAGGCAATTCTGGCAGAGGGAGCTTTACCCTACTTTGCATATGTATGTTGGTGGATACTACCTCCATACTTCAATGCTTTCACCTATTCCTAAGGCTCAGAGAGGTACCAGAAGTTATCCAAAGGCACACAGCTGCACTTAACAGCCTGACTCTTGCCTGGCACTGGTTGTTCACACCTGTAATCCTAGCTACTCTGGAGGCTGAGATCTGAGGATCGTGGTTCAAAGCCAGCCCGGGCAGGAAAGTCTGTGAGACTCTTATCTCCAATGAATCACCAGAAAACCTGAAGCAGCGCTGTGGCTCAAGTGGTAGAGGTTAGCCTTGAGCTGAAGAGCTAAGGGATAGCGCGCCGGCCCAGAGTTCAAGCCCCACAATCAACAAACAACAACAACAAAAAGATCCTGGCTGTAAGGCCTCAAACATTTCCGTCCTTGACTTCTCTTTATGATAGAAGTTCCCAAGTTTTTCTCTAGAGAATTTTTTTTTCCTCTGTGATTGATTTACTAAGAGGAAAGGGCAGGGCTTGGGCATCTGATCAAAACACACCTGGACTGAGTTTTGATTGCTTCTGGCAATTTGGCTTTGAGCCTGGAGGTTGGGTTTCTAAGTCAAGGCAGTGAAACGATAGTTCCTCCTCTGAGACTAACCAGTGAGGCTTATAACTCTGGATGCACAGAGACCCATGTGAGGACACTGTGTAGAGAAAAACAGCCCCAGCACCCCAGGAACTTGTCACAAGCAGGAAATTCATGCCTGGATAAAGGTCACTTGGAGATTGTTAAGACACACCTTAGATTGGATCGTAGAGATTTCTTTTCCTTGTCAGCAAAATCATGATCTGCCCCACATCATGATCTGCCCCCAGCAAACCTGCAAAGCTGGGAGAGGTGGGAGCTGAGGTCTTCTTAGCTTCTTGGGGAATCCCCTGAAGTCTGGGCTGTGATCCGCCCTTACCAAGTTCAGTAAGAAGAGAGCATCAGAAAGAAACAGGCCTCCAGTTTACTTTTACTAAGCAGGAATTCTTAGATAGTAAAATCTTGAGGGACTGAGGATAAAGATCAAATTGGAAGCAAGTTCAGATGTCATAGCCATCAAGGAAGGCTGTGCATGCATAGGTTTATGCTCATTTATGACTTGCAGGGACAGGAAAGAAGTCCCCTGCTAGGAAGGGACACTTCTTGGTTCCTCATTTATATTGGAGCTGCTTCTCTTTCCTCTCTTTTTCCTTCTCACTTGTCTGTCTTAGACCCATAGTATTCACGTCATGGTACTTTGCCTTCAACTCTTAGCCATAATTGAAAGCATCTTTAAAAGTTTAACTCTCAGGGCTGGGAAGGTGGCTCAGTGGTAGAGCGCTTGCCTTGCATGCCTGAGGCCCTGGGTTCGATTCCTCAGCACCACATAAGCAAAAAGAATAAAAGCCGGAAGTGGCGCTGTGGCTCAAGTGGTAGAGCACTAGTCTTGAGCTGAAGAGCTGAGGGACAGCGCCCAGGCCCAGAGTTCAGGCCCCACGACCGGACCCAAAAAAAAAAAAAAGTTTAACTCTCAGCCTGGCACATGGCAGTGAGCACCTGTAGTCCAAGCTACTTGGGAAACAGAGACAAGAGGACCCATTGGAGTTCAAAACCAGCCTGGGCAATATAGGGTGGCTCTGTCTCAGAATAAAGCTAACCACATAGAAGTTTAAGTCCTCCCATGACGTTGAATTTCTGTAGTTGGTAGTGTTGGTCTCTTGCTTGGAGCCTGGATGTTGTAGGTGTGTGTCTACAGTTTGTCTTGCCAGTTGTTGCTAGTCTATCCCTTTCCATTGCTGTGATGAATGCTGGAAAAAAACAAGGGAGGAGAGGTTGATTTTGGTTTGTGATTTCAGTCCCATCATGATGGCAGCTGGGGCGGGGAGAGGGAACAACTTGCCTCTTGGCCACCAGGAAGCAATAAGGAAGTGTGTTAGAGGTGCTTCTTGTTAGAAAAGATCAAGCAGAACAAAAGGAAAAAAGAGGATAGAAACCTTAACAGATCAGATCAGGTTTTAGTCATTGTTGAAGAGGGGCACCACGTAGCTACAAGACAGTGGGGAATACAAGGGGCAAAGGGCATGGGGGTTTGAGGGTTTACATACAGTAAAGGATGAGAGTTTGGGATTTGTAATATCCTTGTAGTAGCAGCAGAAGGTCCTGTGTGGGGTTTGTGATATCTTCACAGTTCTGGAAAAAGGTCCTATAAGGTCAGATAAGGCTGGGGGATGACATGGGATGGGGATTCTGAGAAGATTCCCGGGGAAGATTGCTGGGAAGGGTTCCTAGGGGAGGGTGGTCAGTGGGCCATAGGAGCAACATCAAGTTATGAGAGCAAAGCCAATTCCTATCAATTCTTTTCCTTTTATTCCACGTAGGCCCCCATTCTGTTGGGTGAAGCCACTCACATTCAGGGCAGGTCTTTCATGCTTAGTTAGTTTTCTCTGGAAATGTCTTCACAGATACACCCAGAGGTATACTTTCCTAAACTCCTGGGCAATTCGCAGTCCAATCAAACTGACCGTCAAAATCAACCATAACACCATTTTAATGATCCCAGTACTGTAGGCAATCTACCTGTGATTCCTGAAAAGGTTCCGGTGGAAAGTTGTATGTGGCTTTTTCTAATTTATTTTCATTTAAAGGATTTACATTTAAAGTACTAATACTTTTCATACACTAAACAAACAGAGCCAGGCACCAGTGGCTCATGCCTGTAATTCAAGCTACTCAGGAGGCTGAGATCTGAGGATCATGGTTCAAAGCCAGCCCAGGCAGGAAAGTCTGTGAGACTCTTACCTCCAGTTAATGACAGAAAACCAGAAGTGGAGCTGTAGCTCAAAGTGGTAGAGTGGTGGCCTTGAGTAAAAAAGCTCAGGCCCTGAGTCTAAGCCCCACAACTGACAAAAAAAAAAAAACACATATACACAAAAAGCAAAAACAAGTATAAGTTTTATAATTAGAGAAGAGAATGGTGCTGTTTGCATCTGGGGTTCAAGTGACAGTATAGAGCTAGTATTTAAGAAAACATAGTTTCCACTTAAAAAAAAAAAGTGTAGCTGGAGCTTCCGTGGGGAGGAAGTGGCATTACTGGTTATCTAGCAGTCAAGGAGAGGCCAATAGACCAGTCTGAGTCAGCTGACCTCTCAGGTTCAGTGTCTAATTCAGAAGCACCAGCTTTCAACGTTGCTGAGCAGAAAAAAGCCAGACACAAAGGACATCACAATCTGATTCCATTTATTCTACAAAAGGTGTTTCTTTATCCAGATAAACTCTTTAGGAAAACTGAAGGAAAAATCTGTTAAACTTTAAGACTTACTTAGTTAAAGTCTAAGAACCAGAAAACAATCTTTCACAATTCAATAAGCATTATGTGTTTAATTAACTTAATCTTTCCTATTTCTTTCTTTTCTTTTCTTTTTTTCCAGTCCTGCAGCTTGAACTCAGGACATTGTCCCTGAGCTTCTTTGGCTTAAGGGTAATAGTCTACCACTTGAGCCACAGCGCCACTTTCCAGCTTTTTCTGTGTATGTGGTACTGAGGAATTGAACCCAGGGCTTCATGCATGCTAGGCAAGCACTCTACCAGTAAACCACATTCCCAGCCCAATCCTT